AGTCAAAGATACCAGTAGTATATTCATTCTTTGACATTTCTTCTGTATGACATATTAAACAGTGTTATTAGAGTGTTATTTCTTTCTCTTGGCTTTATAAATAGTCTTCCAATGTGTATTTATGGTGTGTATAGTTATATATCAAATTAATGTGTTAAAAGTGCTCAAATAGGCAAAATTATATTTAATCCTCTTTGAATCACAGTGGTAAAGATGAATGACAAAAAAGTTGAGGGGAAAAAAGCTGGAATACTGCTTGTATTCAATGCTTCCTGACTGAAAATTGCCAAGAGCTCCAGAAAGTGGATTGTAACAAAAAGCAGGGACCATTTTCAAGGATAGGTATCTGGATTTTTACAGTTGTTCTCGTTGTTTTCAGATTTCAATGGTGGTACAAAATGTGATAGATCTTTTAAGTCACTTCCTATTTGTCATGTGTTTGGATCAGTTGCTTTTACTCCCATAATTTAGATTATGAATGGGTTGTTGTAGCCATGGTGTCTGAATTGTTCTCTTTCTTTGCTCCTTAAGTCATCTTTGTCTATGGTGCAGCTTTGATTTTTTTCTAATGTGTGTTGGAGGAATTCTGAGCAGTTTTCTGGGAAAATAGTCTTCAGCTGCCAGTGTCCTGATGAAACATGTCGAAGGCATCTTCCTCCAATTTATTGAATGTGCATTCAAAGACAATGAGACATTCTGCTGATGCCACTGAATAGTACTCTTTGTGCTGCAGCCCTTGCAGATATTTATGGGTTTTATTTTGAACTTCAAACACCAACTTGACCTACCTATTAAGAAACACTTTTACTGAGTCCTAATTTATTATTTATAATAAGGCCAGATATTCCAAAGTAACAGCTGGCGTATTCTTTCCTCTCCATAGATTTCTTATTCTTGCAGCTCTGTACTAAGTAGGAATTTCCTGAAATCAGAAGTAATTTTTAAGGTATTTGTGGCTGATTCCTCGAGGAGCTTTATACATTTGTCCCACTGAAAAGCACAATACAAGATTTAAGGGGTTGGGGTACTACGCCATCTTTTCCACACCTCCTCTGATACAAAATCATGAGAATTATAGTATTTTCTTTGTATTTTTATCTACTTCCAGTAATTTTTTTCCTTGAAAAGCAAGCCTGTATCCGATATGCCATAATCTGTGTGGAATGTATGTGCAGAAATGGAGTAGGAGGCATTCTGGTGCATGTGCCTGATAGAAGCCTGAATTAATTCTGTGGGGTGAGGTTGATCACACAACTTAGTGTGGTCTGAATCACTAAATCTGCTATTGTGGCTGACCTACGACTGCTGCAAAGACATTTCAAACCTACGTGTTCCAGTTTTTCTGAACATGAATATGCCAGGACCTAATATGAATTTCAAAATCAAGCTTCTTTTGCCTGTAGTCAGAAGCCTTTTAATATTTCAGAGCTAATTCTTTGCTGTAGAAACAATGTTGGTTTCAGTGCATGTGATTTGGATGGAGCAATCTGCTGAGCTGCTGGTGCATGCCATGGTTTGAGCAGTGGGAGCAGGGGTGAGGAGCAAGGGCATTTACAGCTCTGCCTGGGGCTCCCTTCCTGAGCACATCCATGCTGAACCTATGGCTGCAGCACTTTCCACTGGCAGCTGGGGCAACGAAAAGCACAAGAAATTTACTGAAAAGCCTTAACTGTTCATCAGTTTGACAGTCCAAATGATGATCTTCCCCTTCTACTTTGTAGGTTTGGAATATAGTAGCTTTGGAATGGTAAAATGAATATATCAAACCTCTGGTGTATTTATTGAGAAGAAGGGAGATCCAATAAATTCTGTAACTTATCATGGCAGGGTATAAAAGCTTTAAAAGGCCATTTTTTTCACTTTAACTAGTTGAGGAAAAGAGATTATCTTCTTTCTGATAGCATTCATAAAGACTATAATCTGTCTGATCTTGTCATGGCTTGACCAGAGGCAGTTTGGTTAACTGTCTCATAAGAGCATTGTCCTTAGCAACTTGGTTCTTCTTCCAGCATTATCTACCCAAGTGAAAATAATGTTCCAATCTCCAATGTGCTTTATCACTGGGGAAGCTGCCAAAATAGATGAGATTTTAGTAATAACGACGTCTACAAAGTAAAACATCAGTGGGAGCATTAGTTAAGTGTGACACCATCTGAATACATTAGCTTGAGGATAATCAAGGAATATTTTTTATTATACACATAGTGAGTAATTTAGATACAAAAATACCTCTTGTGGGAAAGCTGTGTTTTATTTCCTGGAAATTCATTTCAGCTCTTCAAAGCTGGAATTCTGAAAAGAACAAACATGGTGTTGCCTCTGCAGTTTGCATATTGGTATCTTCTTTCTGGTTCCAGCATTACCTGGACAGTTCCTGTGACCTTTGTGTGCCCTGTTATGATGCACAGTCGTGTTAGGATGTGCTTTAGAGACACAGGCTTTGAAATGCCAGGAAATAATTGAAGTGCTGCTTGCTGGCATTCTGCCTAACTGAGAAAATGATGGATCTAGGGGATAACACTTTTCTCACTTGGGTTTAAATTGCTACTGAGCAATTTTTCTGGGTTTTTGGTAAGAAAATAGCAGTAAAGTTTCTAGAATTTGCCAACAGCATTCGCAAGCCTCCTTTCTGCTTTGCTGATCCCCACTGGGAGCATTGATTTTTGTCACTGTGAAGGAATGGAGGCATTGGGCATGAGGTGCATTGCAGCTGGTAACAAATGCTGAATGGATGAACCAAAATCTCAGCTGTGTTACACAGGGACAAGAGATCCAGAAGGAGACACAGGGTTATCAGGCAGTAGCAGAGGATAACACGGAGACATTTGAATGAACTGCTGTTCATATGGGCTGGGGAAACACTCAGTAGAAAGCAGGGACAGGAATGTCCCCAGCCCAGTCAGCTGCTCCTGCCACTGCAGCAGCTAAAAGGACTTTCAGTGCAGTCTTGGGAACCCCTTTGCCACGAAATTGTGCTGTCAACCAATTCCTGACTTTCAAAAACTGGGCAGTTTCTCACCAGAGGTGTAACTGTGTGTTCTAGGGAGCCAAGGGCAGGTCTGCACACACTGCCATAAACCTCTGGTGTGTGTCGGGGCCTGGGGAAGAACTCTGCCACTCTGGCATCCCAGCAGGTTCCAGCCTGCAGCCTTGGGTAGGGTGTCTGTGGTGATCCAATGGCCATTTAAAAAATGAGCAATGTTCAGTTGCCTTTTGATTGTAATGGAGAGAAAACCTTGCAAAATTAGGCAGATGGGAAAGCAGGAGTGCTAAGAGTGCTGTGTTGCTTCTGTTGTTCTCCAAATTGTAGCTCATAATTATTATGCTCTATTTTTTTTACTCAATCATTGCACTTAGAAATGGACAATAAAAATGAAGAATTGCTGTTTGTTGTGCTGTATGGTCTCTGGGGTGCAGTTCTATTTGTTCTTGGACAGAAAGTTTTAGTTTGCTGGTGTGATAGATTCTTACTCATTTTGTTATGTCTATGAATTATAAACAAACCTGCTTAAGATAAGTCTTCTGGGGATTTCTATGCAAGGTCTTATTTCTTTCTCTTCTTTCTTTCCAAGAGTAATACTATAAGCTAAACTCAAATATGCACTTCTATGCTAAGCTGGGACATCAACTGCAGAGTCTCCTGGTTTTGGCTGGGATAAAATTATTTGTATTCCTGGCAGCTGGTGCAGTGCTGCATTTTGGAGTTCTGGGAATAATTCTGACTCCACCGTGACACCTTGGCTGGTGCTGAGCAGTGCTCACCTGCACTCAGGGGCTGTCAGAGTCTCAGGCTCTGGCAGTGAGCAGGTGCACAAGGAGCTGAGAGGGAGCACAGCCAGGAGAGCTGACCCCAGCTGGCCAGGGGATTTTCCACACCCAGGAATGTCCTGCTCGGTGTAGATGTATTGGGAAGCAATTATTCTTGTAACCCTCACTGACGTCAGAAAGTCAGTCCACATATATTGAGGACTTTGTGATACCTTCAGAATTGTTTGCCAAAGCCCAAAGCCTCAAATGATTTTTCAGCATTTGTTTGCTCATTTGGTTTTGTAATTATTTCTTAGACTATCTTAGAGTAGGTTTAGACTAGATATAAGGAAGAAATATATTGCAGTAAGTGTGGTGAAACACTGACATGGGCTGTCCAGGGAGGTGATAGGTGCTCCATCCCTGGAAATCCCTGGCCATCAAGGCCAGGTTGGATGGGGCCCCCAGGAACAAGATCTGTTTGAAAGTGTGCCTGCTCGCTGCAGTGGAGTTGGGTTAGGTGACTTTTAAAGGTGCTTTTCAGCCCAAACTATTGTTTGTGTGTGTGCTGATAAGCCTTATGCCTTTGGGTGTATGGTGATTTTCTTCTGTCTCATCTGCCATCACTGGATGAGATGGAATGATTTTTCTCTCTTTTTTTTATCGTGTTTGACCTATACCTGTCATGCAGTCTCATAAGAGAAGAGTCTCCAGTGCAGCCCCTGAGGACACCAGCGCTTTTTGCAGTAATTTTTTATTTCAGAGAGATGAGAAATTTAATATGATGGAGTTGTTTTCCTATCTCTGCTTCTCTACTGTGCTTAGGCAGCTGTAGCAGTACTGAGTGTATTAAGTTCAGATTTGGTTTGACCCAGTTCATCTGTCAATGTACCGTGGGATTAGCATGAATTACAGGTCAATGGCCCAGTTAGAATGGAGGCAAAATGTGTGTGATCAGTTGCAGCAGAGAATTGCCACTGTGACAAAGGATCAAAGGAAACTTGTAGGAAACTTGGCATTCAAAGGCTGGGCGTTTCTTGAGGTCGATTTGAAGTGGTATCAATGTAAGAAAGTGCATGGCTTTGATTTGAAATGTCAGCTTTAAAAATAACTTTTTTGAAAAGTGTTTTGAGTTCAAGAGCTTCCACATCCTTCATGAAGCCTTGGTATTCAGTCAGATTCTGCTATATGCTATAATTCATTTTCTTATCTTGGCTATGAATTAGCTGATAACAAAATTTGCTCTATTACAGGTATCCCATGTCTCAGAAGGTTTAGCAGTAGTCATTTGGGAAAGGTCTGTGCTTGAACATCTAAAGCAACAGGTCAGTATTTGTAAGTGAATGACACATGGCATTTGTTAAGAGAGCGCAGTGATGGTGTGAACTGCAGGACCCGTGTCACGGATCCGTGTGATGACAGGACCTGTCTAACGGGGGGATTTTTATGCAGTCTCATTGCTCGACACCTGGAAAAAGCCGTGCACACTGTCAGTCGTTCGAAAGCACGTTTGTGTCACATGCTGTCCCAGGCGCATCCTCCTCTGGAAGTGACCGGGAGCAGCTCCCCCGTCCCGCCCGGCTCAGCGGGGACAGCGGGAGGGGTCGGCTCAGGGAGGGGTCGGCTCAGGGCCCCGCTGCCCTGCCCTGCCCTGCCCTGGCCGGGCACTCCCCCGGCCGGGGCTCTCGATAAGAGCGGGGCGGCGCGGGCGCGGCGCGGCGATGGAGGCGGCGGGCGGGCGGGCGCTGCTGGCCGCCGTGCGCGCCCGCCGCAGCCGCCGCGGGGAGCGCGCCCGCGGGCACGTGCGCGCCGACAGCGACGAGATGCTGATGGTGCTCACCTACTCCATGGTGCCGGTACGGCCCCGCCGGGCGCTGCGCTCGGGCCGGGGGGCGGGAGAGCCGGGCTTGTGCCCCGGCAGCCCCCGGGGACACTCGCGTTGTCGCCGCGGCCGCTCTGCGAATGCTGGGCTGCGCTCGCATGCATCCAGCTTCACAAACGAGGCTCGCACAAAGGGAGGGAAGCTGGGGGTTTAGTGAAACTCCAATTTCGTTCGTTCCAGTTTCCAGCGTTTCTGGTTTTTAAAACTAACACCACTAACAGAACTCTCGTGTGTTTTGTGCTGTTCAGCATCTCAGCACGAGGCACTGGACATCGCCCGACATCTCTTTGAAAGTGATAATGCCCTTCCAGTAAGTGCTAAATATGAGGTGCTATTTGATGGATCAGGAGAACTGTATGTCCTTTCTCTGGCGGAAAAGCACAGTTTTTTGCACATCACTGAAAAGATGATCTTGTAGGAACTAATGTCATGTAGTTGAAAAATTATACAGCTTGTATAGTTGAAAAATTTTGAGTAGATTGAAAAGCTTTTGAGTTTTGTGTCAGAAGAAATGCAAGAAAAATATTACTGTTGAGAGAACTTTAGTGGAAACTGTCCCAGTAAGGATTGCAGGTCTATGTGTGCAAAAGCATAACTCAGGCTCTAACTCGTGTATTAATGTTGCTGGTTTAAAAAATATTTACAGAAAATACCTCTTCAGTCATGTTCTGATGGCATTTTTGTTAATAAACTATTGCAATGCTCATTTTACAGTGATAAATCTCCATTAATATTAGAACTAATGAAAGTGTCAAGCACAGGTGTTCAAAGCATGGAGTCTTGATAATTTTACATTGTTTTGGTTTTATAATAATGGTTTATTTTTTTAGCTAGGCCCTTTAAGTTGTTGTTCTTTGAGTTTATAATTTGCAGTACAAGACTTCCACAAAAAGTAAAAATGTGCAAAATCATGTGGTTTTGTACTCAAATCTGGCTTTTAAATAACTCCTTTTAGGAAGGCAACCCTGAATTTGGCAGCTGCAGCTTGTTTTGCTCTATCTGATATGAATTGCTTTTTTGAGTACAAAACATCCACAAATATAATTATTGGGGAAAGGATTCTGATCCTGATAGGGTTGAAGACGGTCAATGCCATTTACTGCTAGGTGCTCAGACTGGGATCATTAGTTGCAGGTGAGTGTCTGGATAATTTTGACAGTGGCCATTAAATGTGCTACTCTGCTGTCAATAGGTACCACGATTACAGATTACATTAATTTTATTGCCCTCTCCAAATAGCACTGAGCACATTGTGTATATTTGAACAGCATGTGGCCAGACTGTGCACTTGTGCCTCTAAATGTCCACTGTGGCTACTGCTGTGTGTGATGTGCTTCATTTAAATCTGTGTATCCTGCAGGGAGCTGCTTGGCAGGGTTTGATGACTCTATATTCTTACTCCCATCAAACATTTTTCATTCTGGCCACTGCACAGAGTGTGACTGTGTGCAGAATCATTTGCTCAAGAGGAAAAGAGTCCTTAGAAAAATATTCAAGCAGCCCCTCCTCCCACTCCTGCATTTCTGTATTTTGAATCTAACTCCCACTAATGTAATTTGAAGACTTGGCTGCTTTTTTAGTGTGAGACAAAGTTCCTCAGAGTTGCTGGGATGACCCCTGTGACACTGGTGGTCCCGGTTGGTCCTGAGCAGGTTCTCTGTGGCAGGGGAGGCACTTCTGCAGGGCCACTGCAGGATCAGTGTCCCACTGCTCTGCACAGCCCCTGCTCAGGACACAGCTATTGTGCCCACTGTTCATGAACTTTTGAAATAACCACAGGCAGCAAAAATCATGTTAGCTCTAATAACATGAGCATATTTTATGTTCAGGGCCTCTAATTAATGTATACCTATATTTATTCTGCAAGTCAGTAAAAACAGGAAACTGGCAAATCTGCTGCTGCAGAAAGGCTGATGGGAGGGTAACAGGCCAAGATTCAAAGAGTGATTTAAGACAGTGCAAGAGATGGTGGCTACCAATTACCTGAGTAATATTGCACAGTTTAGGGGTTTATTTTATTTTTATTTTTCCACCATTTCTCCACTAGAAAACTAACCTTTTAGCATTTAAATAAGATATTTTTATCTGTAGCTTTCCTTAGTGATGATGCTGGTTGAGAATGGACTGTTCATCTTTCATAGCTAAGCTGGAGGTTCTGTCAAAGGCTATTTGCACTTCCTGAGTGCCTTGTTTCCTAATTGTCACCTGAGTTGCAGTGACTGGTAAAAGTCGTGCTGCTGAGATAATTGGAGGGCCCCAATGCAAGCTGTAATCACTTCAACAACCTCAACAGAACTATTTAAATTGAAATGCAGTTAGAATTAGAGTGCACATGGACAATATGTATTTTACAAATTACAGGGTAGGAGCCAAGTGGTTTTGAGGAGTGTGAGGGGAAAGAAAACAAGCATATTCTGATATTCAAAATCAGTTAGCAGTTCTCAGCTAATTTAAACAGAGTCTAACACTTTAAATGTACTGTTCCAGTACAGTCTGGAGTCAGTACATTCTCAGCATGTATCAGACAGAACAGGAACTCATTGTCAAATATGGTTTCGTTTTGCAGCAAAAGGATACTTTCCATTAAACTAATTGTGCTCTATTTGAGTCTGTTTGATTTGGCAATTGAAACTAATGATGCATTAATTTTAAAAATAACGATTGACAGTGGCAAATAACCTTGCTAGGATTAAACTTTGTTCTGTCTTTCAGATTGCATTGCACTTGTTCCTTCTGTCTTTTGGGACTAGTGCATTCCATTAATTTATATTAATTGTAGATAGAGTAACTGCACAAAGATCAACAAATGTGCAGCTCTGGGTAAATGGTTCATAAATTATCACACATTGCACAGCTCTGAAACAGTGATCCTTTATTTTCTGGCTATAAACATTAGACTTTCCCATAGAGAGCTGAGGGACTTCCAGAGTTCATGGTTTTGTTCTGATGAGTCCCAAAATGTTTTAGTGTTGACTCTCATTATGTAGGACATGTAATGTGAATGTTTGCTCAGCCAAGAACTGTGTATTTCGTAAAGATGACTCCTCTATTGATAAATTTTAGTCTACTCTAAATTAAAAGCATCTTTATGAACGTGTTTTCCAGCTTGATTTAATAAAGACTTGTCTGTAAAGATGACTCCTCTGTTGATAAATTTTATCAATCTAGAGTCTACTCTAGATTAAAAACATCTTTAGGAATGTGTTTTCCAGCTTGATTTAATAAAGACTTGTCTTTTTGCTTGAATTGTTTTGAGTGGATGAAGGTCCATTTCAAATCTGCACATCTTCGTTATTCAAAGATAAGAAATTGCTTACCTGGAACACAGGTCGTCTTTCTCCTTGGGAATGCTTCATTAGAATAGTTTCCATCACTTAATACAAATATAAAATAAAATCTAATGTAGTTTTTATTAGTTGATAATTGGATTTTAATACCTTCTATTGAGAGAGTCCATGCATGGACAACCACATGTAGTTGTGTTCCAGTAATGTGTGAAATTTAATGGCTAAGTGATGTATGGAGTGGTATGCCCAATATTTTATTCATATTTTCAGTAAGGATTAAACTGAGATCTATTGAACAGAATCCTATGAGAGAAACACTGCCCAAAGAGATGGATGGTGTCACTGTGTTACAATATTCTGACCAGCTTATTCTAATAAGCACAGAGGGCCAGTTGTATCCTTCAGTTTGGAATTATTTCTGTAGGTGAAGTGAACATAAATACTTTTATGAAATACATTGTTTTTAACTTTAATTTCTTTGCAATATCAGGTCCGAGTGATGGTGGATTTGTGTAACAGCACAAAAGGGATATGTTTAACAGGTATGTTTGTTGCCTTAAGCATGATGTTACTTCGAGGAACCCAGAAATAGTGTTTTCAAAAAACCTGAGATCAATACCAGTGTCAAAAAACTGCTATTTATCAGAATTTTAAAATAGGTTAGTATGTACCACTTTGGGACTTATCTGTACCCTCCGAATATAAATGCTGGAATTTAGGGAGCTCAATTGATGCTACTTGGAGCCATTTCTCTTTGATGCAATTTTCATAAGACTTGGGTGTTTCAAATACCAGTTGAGGTTTAGTCATAATATTTTTGCATCTGTCACACTTCAGGCCCACCACAGGAGGAACATGCAGGGGGTAGAAACTTGCTCCCATTGCTACAACTGCAGTGCAGCAGTGGCACTTAGTGAAGTCCCATGTCCCCAGTGAGGACCTGGAGCTGCTGATGGCTGAGTCACGAGCAGGGGTGGGAAGTTTTGTGGGGTTTGGTGAAGAGTGTCTGGCAGCAGCCAATTTAAGAGCTATGGTCCAGCTTTGAGGTCTGTCACAGGATGAGTTGTGCTCCTTTTGGAAATGAGAAGATTAGAAAGAAGCCAGATTTATGAGTTAAAGAAAATGCTTCACTTGCTGTCTGGTTTGAATTTTCAATAAGGTCCATTTGACTCAATTGAATAAACAGAAATGAGAACTACCATTGTACACACAGATGTTAAATAATATTTCTGAGGCTGTACATCAGTTCTGATTGCAACAGTGGCTGAACCACAGACAATGTAAGTTTTGGTTTTTTGGGCTCCAAACTTGTAAATTCATGTTCTTTGGTGCCTTTTGTACCTTTTTCTCTCTTAACACCATTACATGAGTAGCTTTCTCTGCTGTAGACCTCAATGACATTCATGGCTTTTCAAGCACCTTTCTTATGTATCTTAGACTTGTACAAGGAGCCTCAGCTTTAGGGATGAGGAAGTAATTCAATACACTAATGGATGTAACATAGTGTGAAAGAAATAGACATTTACTGGAAAACTGGCAGAAATACATTAACTGACATTACTGCCTGTAGTGATTAAAAGGGATGATCCCTATAATGGTATTACAAAATGCTTTACTCATAATGCTTTGTAATTAATGCTGAAAATTGTCATCTTTAGGGAAATTTAGTAATTACTGTTATTTTCTGTTGTAAAAAGTTTGGTTGAAAAAAGACAGTACTTTGGCTGGATAAAAACGCTCACAGAGTTAATTTGGTTCTTTAATTGCAGCTATCACCTTTGTATTCTCCATGGGGTTTTCCATTTTTCAAATTTTTTAATGTGTATTGGGAATCACAGATGAGGAATCACAGACATTTCTCTGGTTAATCTTTCTTTACTTTTGCCTGCTATGCTTGCTTCTCCTTAAGGGCCTACATCTAAACTGTAAGAGACTGAGAGGGATTTTTCTGTATTACAAGTTGCTGAATGACTGAAGCAAGTCCAGTTGCTAAATGTACCAACCAGTTTCTGTGGGAAGCTTGATCCAGACTGGATAACTATCACATGTGAAAAGTCTGACTGTTGATATTAATTACAAGACTTTTTTTTCCTATTTAAATATTGTGAGTCCTGAATTGCAATGAAATATCTGTAAAACACAGGGAAGTCTGGCATGTATTTTTAATGTGTATTTCCAATAGGATTTTTAATTGTGACACTCATCAGTATTGTAAAGGCAACATTCTTCCACTGGAAGAGGTTTTTGAAGAACATTTACATAAAGGAAATATGACTGTGAGGTGTCTTGCACCCATGGCACCAAAGCCCCTGACAGTAAGGTTGCATTGCAGAGGTTGTTGCCAAACCTTTATCAATTGAAATTTGAAAAAAAGCAAAACATGTTTATGTAAAGGTGTCACTCTTTTGGCAAGCCTGAGTTACTGCTAATGCTCAGCTATTTATTTATAACACAAAGCAGTTAAACAGATAGATGCTCATTTTGAAATTGGAAGGATATTCTTACCCTTTTACTGTTGTGAGCTAGTGCTAATCAGTTCAGTTTGGAATTGCTTTGTTTTCTTGCTAGGTTAAACTCACCCTTTTGTCTTTCTTGTGTTTTTTTTTTTTTTTTTCTATTGTTATAGGCCCACCAGGACCCCCAGGTAAGACACTTGGACAATTGCAGTAACACTTGGGGGTAATTTGAAACACAGAAATGTATCTTTCACAAAATTGTCTTCCTTTGCTAATTAGATAAAGGGAGGCCATTATAATGTTTGTATCTAAGTCAGTTCATGCCCCTTCTGAGAGACAGGAGGTTTTAAACATTTTAATTTTCTAGTGGAGGGAGTAGAACGTTTGATCAAAACCAAATTAATATATTTAAGTAGCATCTAGGTGAAGATATGAATTTATATATTAACCTCCCAAGGAAATGGATATTATAAGTTAACACTAAAACAAATTTTTTACAAAAGCATTGGTTACTGATTACACCCTCCCATGTCTGCCATAATTTTTCTCCTTCCTTATTGAATTCTGTCTCAGTTCTCACTCAGGTGGTTGCAAGGCTGTGTTATGAATGGTTACTTGTTTTCTTTCTGTGCTGCTTAACCTGTGGGTCTGCTGGGAGTAATTCTCTGTATCAGAAAAGTACCAGTTATGTTTTGCTGGGGTTTAAATATATATATATAAACATGCTGCATGTAAATATAGTAGATTTCAGGCTGACTTGCATTCAACAGTGAAAATTCAGTTATGCTGTTTGGTTTGATCAGGGCCTCCTGGGCTGCCTGGCTACAATGGATCAGACGGAATCCCAGGAACTCCAGGACAAAAGGGAGAGCCAGGAGTAAATGGAAAAAGAGGAAAAATAGGTACAGCTTCCCTTCATATTAGGTTGCAATGCTGCTTTGAAATGCAAAAAAATTACAGCTATCCAGCTAAATACAGGTGAAAAAAATAACTAGAATGAATATGGTTTGTAGTAAAAATATTTATTAATTGGTGCTTAATACTGGAGCAGTGCTGTTGATACTGAAATGGTTTTTACTTCTAGGTTTGCCAGGACCAAAAGGTGATCAAGGACAGAAAGGAGAACCGGGAGAAATGGGTTTACCTGGCAAGGATGGTATCCCAGGAGGAAAAGGTACAAGAGGATCCAAGAGAAAAAAGGGGGATGCAAACAATGATGTGGTATTAGAAGGTATGGAAAAGTGCTTTGGGGGTTCTCTTGCAACAGTGTGCTTGACAGAAAAAGATGTGCTCCACTTCTGAAGCATGAATGTGATCTGCAAGGGCAGGACCAACCTGTACAAACAGGATTTATATACACAGGGAAGTCTGAGTATTGCTATGCACAGGAGATTGCTCTCTTTGCAAGGCAAGTCTTCACAAAAAGCTTTCTGCTTGGCCTTTGGGTTGAAGTGTATGTGAATTTCACCCTTTCCAGAATGCTTTCATACATTTGACTTCCTCCTGCTCCTTATTTCAGTGTAGTTTTATTTTTCTATTAGAAAATGAGGGGCAGATTTCCACTCAGGAGCACGTGAAGCAGCCAAATATAAACTGTGTGAAATATAAACTACTACAGCAGTGTAGCATCTGAAATTGTAACTCTCTAATGGGCCTGTAATCCAGACAGATAAAATGCATTAATGTCCTACTCCTTGTGAAGCTCTGTCTGGTTCACATTCTAACAAACAGCATTTCAGAGAGTTTATTGCACCATATTCTGTACTCAGGAACCTCTTAAGAAAGAGAGAGGCTGTTCTGTGGATGTCCTGTGGACATGTACAGTTCTCTGCAGGTTTCCTGCTGCCTGGGGAAGGGCTGTGTCCTGACACTGCATTTTGTTCACAGGTGCAAAAGGTGAGCCTGGACCACCTGGGCCCCCTGGACCTCCTGGACCCCCAGGGCCTCCACATAAACGTAAAGGTAAAGCCAAAGTGGAGCTTGAGGAGAACATCTACAGCAGCAAATGCACAGGTTAGTGTTCTCAAGGGTTCTTTGCCATTAAACCAAGATTAAACCATTGCTTCAAGACTCAAAACAGTAAGCATGACTTTAGTTTTGCTGGCACAACTAAAGCTGCATAAGCTTAAATCTGAACATGTGCTCAGGTGCTTTGCTGAAATACAGTTTGTGTAAGGCAGCAGGCTACCTTAATTGTGTTTTGGTAATGCTCAAGCAAAGCATTTACAAATGGTGTTTTCTATTAGGTGGGATAAATTTGGAAAGTAAGAGAAATGCAGCTGAAATAGTTGGCTTTTATATAATGAATATTTAATTTTAGATGTAAATATAAACCCTTGATTCTGGACATTGAAGTGTCAGAGCCCAGAGAGCCTCCTTACAATGGACAGGAGAGAGCTGGAGCAGAAATCTCATCCTATTTGAAATTCAGAAATGCATGAACTGTTGTATGAGATAATTGGGCCATTTGCTCAGGTGGCCTCTTTTCCAGTGTTGAAACAAACTGAAATGCTTTGGAGGATAAGCTCTCTGGTGGATTTCTGATGGATTTTAAATTGCAGCAGGAAAATGGGAGTTACAGTCAAATAACTCTGCAAAGATGAGATCTTCCTCAATGAGCTTTTACGTTTTATGACTCAGCAAACCATGAGATCTTATTACCAAAATTCAATGAATAATCCAGATTTTATAATTAAATATTCATTACTCTTTCAAGGAAAGAAAATATATATGCTGAATTATAACTGTAATTTACTTATTGCATAAGAATACAAGCTTGACTTTTTCAAAGAAAATTTTGAATCTGGTAAAACTTAATTTCTTCAAGAGAAGAGAATAATTAGTTGGAACTGTAGGTATATTTTTTCTCCCTGGTACTTTAGTGAATTCTGGAAGAGACAAAACTCTCTCCCACCTTCTTCCAACAGACCAAATGAATAGTTTTAATGACTTTTAAACTCCATTAACTCTCAACCAGAATATTTTATGATAGGAAGCAGCAGGATATTTATCTTGGTTTTTGATGGGAAGAAAGTAGTGAAAATTTCCCATAAGAATCCTGATTGAAAACTGTCTCTTTAATTTTCGATGCTTTCTAATCCATGCAGCTGGAAGTATTGCAAATATTCTCAAAGGCAAATAGTGCACTCAGCTCTGCTACAAACACTGACCTGGCCCTTGGCTATCCTATAGTTTTAGATAAACTGCTGCTCCTTCAGTCAGCTGCATCTATTAGACTCATCTATTAGACTCAGAAAAATCAACATGTACATTGCAATTTATAATTTCTGCTGAGTGATTTTGTTGTTTGAAATATTCTGGAAGTATTTTGGGATCAGAAGCTGGAAGGGGATCTCGAGGGATTGATAAATTCTAGCTGTAGGCATTCAGCTTACCGTGGCTGGGTGAACTGTTGGTGCCTTACTTGTGATCACTTGCAAACTTTCAATGTCATCTCACCAAATGCCCTAGATAATGGATGGGAGAAATACATGTTGTTCTTGCTCCATCTTGGAGTAGTTTTCTTCTGCATGAACAAAAGGAGAATATGACCTAAAGGAGGAATAACAATGCAGTATTATCTGTCCTTTCTTTCCTGAATGTCATGGTACCCTTTCAGCATTACTTTATATTTTTTCCCTATTTTTAACTATCTTTGTCACTTAAACTTCATCACAGACCTGTAAATCCTAGAAATATATTAGAAGGAAACAATGAAAATGGAAGTCTAAAAAATGTGCAGCCTGTGTGTCAAGCAGTGTGAAATGCTGGAGAGTTAAGAATGGAATTAGAAAACAATGCTACTACGCTTTTTGTCTTATGACAAAATCAGCCATTTTCCAGCTACCTCAGCTGTCTGAAGTTAGCTCATGAAAAGGGAAACTCTCTTTTCCTAAATGGCAACTCAGAAATTCACAGCTAAGGAACTAAATCTATTGATTTAATTAGTTACTCCTCAAAGCTGACTGTCAGCCTCAACACTTCATTTCTTTGGCAGAAGTGAGAGCAAGTCTTTTCTTATCTCATTTTTGACCCCACCAACCTAAGCATTTTTTTCCAGATGAAGCAAAATCCCAGTTATCATTTCTTTATTTTAGAGGAGTCACTGATTTGTCCATCTATCATGTCAAATAGGGTAAAACATGTCATTTTTCTCTTTCTCCCTCCACCCTAGATGAGGTATGTGATGTACCAAATGATGACACCCTCGCTGGAAAGGCTGAAGACAGAACCCCAGGTCCTTCAAAAAAAGCTGGTAACCTGCTACAAAGCGTGACTCGAGTGCTACTTTCTGTCTCAGTGTCACAGATCATGGACGTGTGCTTTTTTCCCACCAGAATGTGTCATAACGTCTGTAGGAAGTCCTATTCGCTTTGTCAGCGTACAGCAAACGTTTGGAACTTGGATGAGGGAACCTGCAAACATAAGTGATGAAAGGATTTGGCTCACCATGCATTTTTCAGGTATTTTTAGTAGTAGTCACTGACCAAAAGTCTCTTGTTAACCTGACATTGCTTCCTTAATCCTTTCAACCTAAACTTGTAAGAATGATGAGTTTTTGCCCACATTTTTTTCAGAACATTTTCCATATTACCTGTTTAATACTTGAACTATACATATGGTTGTCGGCATTTGTAGTATCTTTAGACATTTTCAGAGTCAACATCAGATTTTAAAAATAGCTTGATATTTGTTTTTTTTTTACTAAATCCAAGTTTAAATGTCTATTGTTTGTGGCTTTTTATTATTTTCTTTCAAGAGTTTCTGTTTCCTGTGGCTTTACTTCCCTAAATTGTAGCTCAGAGTTTTGCCTTTTCATTTAGCTAGGCATGAAAATGAGTCAACTGCTGCACAAGCTACATTTAGAGCAGGAACATGTCCAGGATCTAAGTGGGAAAAGGAAATATTTCTGCATACACATCAACTGTGTTCAGAATGAGGACCCATTTGGTCTGTGGGAAGCAGCCTCTTGATAATTTTTTCTATAGATTACTTTTGTGTGTCTCTGAATTATTTTTTCACATTCCAGTAAGTTGAATCACTATTGAAAACACAAATACAATTGTTTGTCTGATAGTTGACTGAGATGGACTTTCAGTAGAGAATGAACTTTAGTATAGAGATCTCAAAATTAGATTAACAAAATGATAGTCCTTTTTTCAACACGTTTTCCTTTTGTTTAGGAAACTATATAAAAGAGTATGAAAATTCCAATGCCTTGCTGAATAACAGCTACAGGATCATTAACATCACAGGATTTTTCTATGGATGTGGTCATGCAGTACAAAACAATCATCTCTACTATCATGAGGGAGGAACCAATTCTATTCGGAAGTAAGTCAAAGATGGTTGGCCTAAGACAAGTGACATTGTGAAAGGAGGAGCAATCGGTTGGAGTGCCAGAGCTGAACCTCAGAAAAGCAGATAATTCTCCTTGTAGCATATTGTATTTCTTTTTGGTCCTACCTAAATAGGAAGAATGGAGGAATGGTTCAGAGCCCTTTCCAGAAGAGAACAACTCCTTCTTTCCAATCTGTAACAAGAATATGGGCCACCAGCCTTCCACTTTGTGTGCACAGATGTTGAGGGAAGAGGAAAATTGGGAGAATAGCTCAGGACCCCTACTCTGCTGTGACAATTCTTTAGGCATTGTTCAGCCCTGTGTCTCAGGGGCTCACCTCTGTAGTTACCACGTCATAGAGCAATAGGTCCCTAGGATGAACAAGATGCCATGTGCAGGGACGACAAGAAGTTCTTCTTTTGGCTATCCTGAGATCCAGCCAGGTAGATCCAGGTTCTATTGAACATTACATTGCTGTGGGTGCTTTTCAACTTGGATTCTTTGCCGTGTTCATAATCACAAGAGAGAAATGAGGACTGACTAAGGAATTTGGGTACCAGAAGAAAGGATTACATTTAGAAGAATAAGCTGTGCACCTACCTGCATCTGAGTCAGAAGTGGTTCAGCTGCAGTGTGGGAGGTGTAGGTGGGTGGTTTTGTGACCCTGGCCTACTCATGAAACTTGGCTTTGCAGAGCCCTTGCTGTGCTCTGCTCTGGCTGGCAGAAGCAGGGAATGCTGCTGGCACAGAGGGTGCACTGAGGCACCTGCTGAGGACAGGGCGACCTGGAGAATTGCACATTCCACCGGGGAGGAGTGGCTTGTGTTTGATTTCCTCATAATAAGAAATTTCTACTACTTTCCTGATATATCTCCCCTAACTAGAACTGAGAATTACATCTCTTATTTAACTTTCTACTGAGGACAGAGACAAACAATACAAATCAACCCCAGAATCTCACCTTGTGGGAAGAGCCAAAGACAGTCCAAGGGCAAGTGAAAGATTGCTTGTGCTTTCAACTTCTTACACGACTCTGATGTCTGAGCCAAGAACATTTACTATACTTTGATGTCTGCTCCCAAGCAGGTGTGAGTGCTGCCTTCTTATATTCATGTGCATGCCAAGGAATGTGAGCAAGCTGCAAGGATTCTATAATATTTATTCTGCCAAGCACAAGCTCACTTTTTGGCAGCCTCCTTTGAACATGTTTTGGCTTTTTCTCTGGTAGTCTGTAAAAGACCATCTAAGCAATACACAGTGATAGGGCAGAGATTCCTCACCTTTGCTTGCATACTGTTAATTGGGAAATGCCTTCATGTACAGATGAACACAAACTATTTGTGGAATTTTCAAATCCTCTCAAGGAGCTGCTGAGAAATGGCCTTTCTGTTCTGTTCTTCATTCTGAGATTATTTACCTTCAGCACAGACAGACTGAGGCACTATGGATTCTGTGACACTGAAGTCCTTGAATTTGGGCTCCATAGAAGCTTCTGGGAGTAGTTGTATTGTTTTAATGGAAAATATAGGTGAGGATCTGGTTATTCCATTTTTCAAATGCTGAAAAAACATTCAAAAAGAGTTTCTTGTCATATTTAAAAGCAGGGAAACCTAGGTTTGTCTGAACCTTGGCGTTTTTTCTTATGATGGTCAGACCCCCAACACTGTGATAATTTCATTCTTTTTACTTTGTTTCATAACATGCTTTACTATCTCTGTTATATTTGATTGACTTTGTTGATATTAGTGATAGAAAAGTGTTTGTAGCTTGAGTTCTGGTGGTTGATGAAACTATTACACTATATCTTGTCATTTACCCCAAGATGTCAGAATATTAAAGAATTTCAGAACCATTTGGAATTCCAGGCTGGACTGTCCCTGACTGGAGGAGCCCAAGAGAACCTGGGAATTAAACCTCACATTTTTGCTCCCTTCCAGATTTTCATGTATAAATAACAGGAAAAGATATGGTGTCGTGTGCTGCAGAACTTGTGTATTTCTAATGAATCTTGAGGTGCTTTCTGTCTTGTTGGCTTTTTATAGAAAAGAATCCTGAAAAAAATCTGCATTTCTGACCAACTAGTCCTGTTAAGGTCTGTCCTTCTAGCCCTTGCATGAGGTTATTTATAGATGTAAAGCAATTAACAAGATTAATGGAGTTGACACATGTATTTCTCCAATCTCCTCCAGCCTTTAATTGTTTGGGGTTTTTTTATTGCACATACATGCTGCTGGAATATGGAGTAGCTGCAGATGCGAGTTTTACAAAACCTGAGGGGAATGATCTAAGTTGGGTATTCCTAACTTTTCTTACCATGATTTTTCCAATATATTCTATCAATGCTGCTTAAACAGAAAAATTATTCTCCCGGTATTTTATGTTCCTGGATCTGAACTGTTCCTGTGATTAAGCCTGTCTTTTCAGAACAAATACTTGCAAGTGTCGCAGATTCCTTTATTGAGTAGTATTTTTGCTTCCTCTATTTGAAGCATGGAGCTATACAGTGAGAGAGAAGTCAGCCACTGAAACGTGCTTCTTTGCAGAGGGCATTATTTAAAAAGATAAAGCCATGCTCTCCCTGCCTTTGCTGAAGCCCTGTGTTATTGGGTGATTAAATGCTGACAGCAGATGTGTCTCAGGAGGAGCTGATTACCCTCCTAAACCAGTAAAGGAACATGATTTAGCTGCTCACTGCTCCAGCCTCATATTATCAACCTATTAAGGAATCTCAAGGAATAAAAACAATTTTATACATCAGAGATGGAATTATTCAGGCTGTCCCATTGAGGCCAGCATAAGGTCACAATTTTGGCTCTGCAAAAGTAGGATTTTAATTCTTTTGATGTCGATTTGAGTAAACCACTGCATTATCTGGACTGTTTTCATCAGAGGAACTCCAAGACTAGGTGAAGCTGCCCAGAATTCCTGCTGCTTTGCTCAATCACATTTTCTTCCTTTAGCTCCCACGTAGTCCATAAGCAAACTTCTGTACAGATTCCATTTCACAATTTTGGGCCTTCACCTGGCATTCAATTCTTTTTCATACCCATTCCTTTTAGTTGCTTCTTTCATCTTGTGATAATAAAGCTCATAGACTAAATAAAGTGAAACCTACCAAAAGCAAATCCATGCTCTTGTGCACCTTTCAGATTGGTTATGACTTATGTAATTTTCTCCTGGTGTTTTGGAAGGTTCTTGGAGAACTTAATGTTAAAAGACATGCTCATTGAACAAGAATTTTGAACACCACCTCTATCAGTGATTCCCCACCCTGTGTGTGTGTGATGAGCTCTGATCACCCATACTGAATCCTTGCTGTATCTCATTTCAGATTTGGGCTCGATAAAGACTCGCTGCACACCCTGCACATCAAAAAAGCCTTACACCAGGGCCGGAACTACCTCTTCTCTAACTCCAAGACATATTTCAACATAGCAGTGGATGAGAAGGGTCTTTGGATTATATATGCCTCAAGCACTGATGAAAATATAATGGTAGCAAACGTTGATGAAGAAAGGTTCTCAGTCAATTGGCACATCAATACCACCTATCCTAAGTCCAAGGCTGGTAATGCATTCATAGCATGTGGCATTCTGTATGTTACTGACACTAAGGACATGACAGTAAGTTTTGCTTTTGATTTACTGAAAGGGAAGCAGATTGATGCAAGGTTTAAGTTACGGTCTTCACAGTCTGTTCTTGCTATGCTTTCGTACAGTCTGCGAGACAAGAATTTGTACACGTGGGAGAATGGAAGCTTAATGGTATACCCAGTCCATTTTGGCAGATGAATATATTTTCACATGCCACCTTTGACTAAAGGATCTATTTAAAGCTCTATGATATACACATGGGGGGGTCTCTTCACTTGTATAATTTTCTGATTGCTGATGGTGGTTTGTGAGTGTGCATGAAAGGGAGATCAGGTGCCTTTGTATAAACACACTTCAATTACATAGGCCATCCTCATATTTTTAAAAAATTGTTGTTCACTATTGCAGATGGCATACTGCATACACATAGTTTTGTTTTTCCCATTACCCAGCTGATAATTGTGTATAATGTACATTGATTATTCCTTGGTCGTGTGCTCAGAAGAGACTATTTGTAACTTTTATTTACAATCATCTTCACTGCAATTATTTTCTAGTCAGTGATGATGGTCTAATATAAACATCTAAATAATGAACTCTTGTGTACAAATACCTTTGTCACTTTCATTTAATTTCCATTGATTCTGTGTGACCATTTTTCTGGACAAAGGTTTAAAGCTGTTAAAATAATGGTAATGAAAATACTTGTTTAAATAGCAAAAAAAGCAGAAAGCTTAAAATTTGACAAGTCAAATCAAGTGTTAATAATCAAAAGCAAAATCCAGCTAAAGAAAAATGGGAATAATGACATTAAATACTGAATAGACATGAATTGTGTTTCTTTAAAATTAAAGACATAACCTTTATGATTAAAATTTCATTTGTAACAAAATTTGAGTTTCTTGTGTTGCTGCAGACTCTTCCTTGGCTCTCACTGCCATGCAAACTATACCAGCATAACTTGCTTATATATGACAAGGCATATTACTAAAATAAAATGTCCCTATGTTCATCCACACAAATGAAATCATAAAATGAAGATTATACTTTTTTGCTGCTATTTTTAGAATCACCATACTGCTTAGTGACTTAATCTATTGTTAACCATAATTCTGAGACTGCCAATTCACATTCAAATTTTTGAGTTAAAGGTGAGAAATAATAGGAACTTTTTTATTTTAATTTTGTTCTGGTATTTTAGATTTCTAAATTTAATGGTGGAACAAAAAGCTTTCCTGTTGTTTTATGTATCTAGATTCAAAATCATGTTCTTGGAGAACCCCTTCCTGAATTTCTAAGCTGCCTGTGCATATTGCTAAAGTTCATGGAGTGCACTCAAACAAGCCAAGTACTTACAAGCCAAGTGTTATTTAAATCCTGAACTGCACTGAGCTGTTTAATACCTGTGTGATCCAGGCCCTGTTGAAGGGATTAATGAATTTGGGAATGTCTGTGCCTGCAGAACCTTGTTTAGCAAAGGTGCTGGAGGAATCCCTCTGCTGCAGCTAAGCTCCAGTGTGTGGCACAGGGATGGCTGGGCTCTTCTCAGGATACTTGCTGTTATCACTAAGGCCTTGCACACTAAGGAGAGAGATGCAGAAGGGAACAAAAATCATAATTAATACTTTGAACTAGTTTATACATCAGAACTCACAGACTAAAAATTCTATTTATACCTGTGTGACACTTCACACCCCAGAGCTACAGTTCTGTGCACTGCTTGTGACTTTCATGGGGGGCGTGAAGGTTTTGGTTGGTAGTTTTTTCATGTTTGTTTGATTGTGGTGTTTTTTTCAAAAATGGAATTGTGGTACTAATACCACAATACAGCTAAAATACCCCTAAAGTCAGCTATACACTCAGGCAAACACAGTTTAAGTCAGATGTGATATTTTCTAGATAATGTACCTATCTCAAAGCATGGTAAACTTATGCATAACATTGTTGAAACAATTTGGATTAATGTCTTGGAGAAGGAATAGCAAGGAAATTCTACCTCTTTTCTCTTCTTCTTGCAGCTGTGGAACTTAATTCTGTTAACCTTGCACTTGTCAAGAGCAGCTGAAAATAAAATGTAAACAGCTAATCTTTTTTATTTCAGTACAGTCTGAGGTCAAGTTAAAGCTAACTCAGGAAGTATCCAGTCAATGTACTGGAGATTTAGATAAATCTGTTTAAATATAAGAAAGAGTTCTAGAATGGGCTGTTTCATGAAATAAAAGTAATTTATTTAACTTACAAAGGGAAAACTAAACAGTGACATTTACCCTTCCTTCTTTTCATACTTGTCCTACTTCACAAGCTGAAATTTAAAATCACCTTTGGAGAAAGGTGCTTTGTATTCTAGTATATCTTACAATACAGCACAGACATCAAAATTTCATTGGAGGAATAAGACAGTTTGTTAACATTTAAATACACAGACATCCATTCCAGTCCTTGAAGAACATGTTTTTTGTTTACAACAGAAAAATACATCTGACAACAGTAGCTAGTTATATTACAAGCAAACAATATTGAACTCTGCATAGTTTATACAATATACTCTGGTAATAATTTAATTACCAGTTTTATCCACTATTTACTAGCTGGCCACATAAAGCCTGACATTCATCTGAAATGTGGCATTATATATTCCATTGGTATTCTCTTAACAGCTTCATTTAATGAAGTATTTTCTGGACAAATGATTTTCAAAACTCAAAGCTGACTAGAATGCTGGATGTCTTCACTACAAACATTTAGTGCTTACAATACATTCCTAAAGTAAAGGCAGGTGTCCAATAGAAAACATAGCTCAGAAAGAAAGGAAAATACTGTGCAAATTAAACCCCATCGCATTTAAAAATGTATTGATGTGCAAGTTACAGTATCAACTGTGCAATAATACTAACTGGGAAAAAAATCTCAGCATAAAATGATACATCTCTCACAGTACGTCCTTGATTGCACATGTTCCACGGCGTTTGCATCACTTCCTGCAGAAATCAAATACACTGAGTACCCTTAATTAAAACTAAACTATTTTACAATGAGAAGTTGTATACATGCTTCATTTAGCGGGAAAAACTGGAATAAAAGTAATCAGAATCACGTCAGAAATGCTTACTGACTTGTAGAGCCACAGTGCTTGTGAAGTGACTGACAACTGTCAGGATCTTAACAACACTCACAAAATGCAGCTTGTGGGTTACTGAGCAATAACCCCCCCATAACCAACAATACTGGGTTGCATTCCTTGCTTTTACAATCCAGTACATGCATTTCCTCCCCAGTGATCCTTATGGGCATATTCAAAATATACCTGTTGTAAAAGTGTTGGTTTTCTCCCCATAATACTTAATGCTGCAGTAACTGATTTGAAAGGAAACACAATGTTTTCTTTCCACAGTGCATACCACTGTTTTTAGCTACTCATAGGGACATTATAGAAACCAGGATTAGCTCACAGAACGCTACAGAATGTCAAAAATGCCTGAAGGTACATTGAAAGCATTGGGAAGAACCCTCATTTTCAGTGTGCCATCTGCTCCACAGGAGAAGATACGATTGCCTTGCACAGTCTCAATCTGGGTGACACCAGCACCAATATTTCTGAAAAGGGATTGCTTAGCATGCTCATTTTTAAACGAATGAATTAAATTGTAGCCGGTCAGTCTCCACACCTGTATCAAAAGAATGACAAAAGGAGATTGGTATTAAAGGATTTGTATTTTTCCCCCTAATGTTTCAGATTCCTCCTGGCTGTTCTAAACTCTATTGAGAAAGATAAAAGGATATTTTTTTTGTTGCCTCATTGCAACAATTACTACAAGTCCAAGAGTCTTGAGAGGCTGCTGATGCAGTGTAAGGCTGCCTTACTGTGGGCTAGCTGGGTTTTGGGCAGGGTGAAGCTTCCCTGTGTTACCTGATCAGAGTCCCTCTCCCAGCTGCCCCGCAAGAAAGCTGCAGAAATGAAAAGGTTTTTTAATTCAAGATGACTACTGTCAGCTTTTCAGCACCTGGAAATGCTTTTCTGCTAAGGAATGCTGCAGAGAGTAAGCTGCACAATTAATAAGTGTGCAGAGTGGTAGGAAACACAGCTGCCTGTTGTGTCCTAAGTAGCAGGAGCCTCAGCAAGGCCAGGCCATGAAAGCCCCTGCAAAGAAGTCATCCAGAAAAGGGAAGAAATTGTATTCACCCTCCCTTTACCATGTTGTATTTCCTTCCCTCAGTATTCAGAAAAAATGGCCCTTAAAACAGGGACTGTATTTCTTTGGTGGGTTTTTTTTTGTGTGTGTTTGTTTGTTTGTTTTGTTCATTTGTTTTCATGTTGGTGTTTGTTTCTTGCTACTCTGACCTCTCAGTAGCTGTCTGGGGCTACAGCATCAGGATAAAAAAATAGAACTTGGTGATACAGAAACTTTACACAATGTTGAAGTTGCTGAGCGCCCCCTGTGTTACAAAGAACTGTCCAGCAGGAAAGGCAGAATATTTTTAAGTGAGAGAAAAACAAAGGTATGATTTCAGAACTGTGCACTTTGCTTTATCCACTTAAAATCAATCTCACAACCTTAAAAAGACTATTCTTTAGAGGAGAAAAAAACCTACTTGCTTTAGAAGCCTAGCAGTACATTTCAGTTTACATAATAAATATAAAGCAAACAGGCTATACTTGTATCAGTAATAGAAGTATAGGTTTAGGGGTTTGAGGATTGTTTTTGTTTTGTTACTGTATTTATCTGGCTATTTACATAAGACAACACACTTCTCCAGCCAAACACCCTCCTCCAGAAGCCAGCTCCTCCATGCCTTACCTTCATGTTGCCTTCAGCTGAGCCTGTAACAAAATAGTCCTCGGAAGGATCCAGTGCAAGGGCCTTAACAGCTGACTCGTGTGCTTGGAAGGTGAACAGGATTTGCCTCTGTCTGATGTCAAAGATGCAGATATATCCCTTCCTACCTCCAGAAATGAGCAGTTGATGCTTGGGTGCATACTGAAGTACTGTGGCACCGTGGTCGTGACAAGTGAAGGCTGAAGAACAAGGATGTCAGAATAGATTTGAAACTGTAAGTAGTTCTCAATCTTAAAATGCCTTTCTTCTATAAATTGCTACCTGAATATTTTCTATCTTTGCAGACACATTCCTTCATATGGGTAATGTCTTATCAGCTGACAGCTTAGTGCTCTCATAAGAAATACCTAGATCTAATGCACAAGAAAGCATGATATGCAGTCTAAGTTACTTTAGAATACAGGGTCATACCTGAATTTAAAATTTGAGAAAATATAAAATTCATTATATGAAGTTCAGATAAATTCCTGATTTAGAAAAAGTATAGCTGATCTTGAGCAACCTGGTCTAGTGAAAGGTGTCCCTGCCCATGGCAAGGGGAGTGGAAAGAGATGATTTTTAAAGTCCCTTCCAACCCAAACAATTCTGTGATGTTCTTCCTTCATACTTTTCCATATAGAGCAGATTAACATCATGGTAGAGAACATGCAGAACCAGGTTCATGTATTCGTGTGCAAAACAAACTTAGACCTGTTCCCCAGTATAAGGTTTTCCCCTTGTCCCAACTGCACACACAAGCTGTATTTCCTTAGTCAGTAAGAAGCAGAGGTTTAATTTTCACCACAGTACTTACCATGTATAAGACTGTTACTAGATGAAACCAAGGTGTCCCAGAGGCACACATTTCTGAGGGAGAAAAAAACCAAAATCATTATGGCCTCTTTCCAAGTGACTCATGGGGTGACACGACTTCAAAAGTGCTCACATTTTATGTCAGTCTAGAAGGCAGAAGTGAACATTCTGCAGACATTGGAGAGCATTTGCAAAGAACTAAGAGTTTTAATAATTTTCTTTGCTCTTTTATGCTTTTTAGTAGAACCATACCTTCTACTCTTTA